TACCTTGTTTCCATGGTGAATGAAAAATGTCACAGGAAAAAAAGTCACATTTTATCTAAATACCATAAACTATTTTTTTTTTTTTTAAATATATTAACCGATAATGCATGACTTTATATCTGAGGGCATTACACAAATGTGTAAAAAGGATGAGATTTATTCATTTTATTTAGCTTAGTAATGAAACAAAAACACTTAAGTTGGTCATTTAGAGACAATGCATAATATTGGGTCATTATATGTATATTAAGTGGATTTAATATTGCCAAATACCACTGTATACTGTTTTATAACCAGAAAATCCATCTATCAGTACTGACATTAGCAGAGGGAATTCCTTAGGATCAGGGTCATGGTAAACTTTTTTATGATATCTTTTCCAGTACATTTTTCCTGGATTTGTTTCCATCTCACGACTGACACCGCACTGGTGCTGAAAATTTATTGGCGCTTCATCAGTGCTGTAGACATCTTATCAGATCTACCTGTTTGTATACATATTCCTGTGTTTAATCCACTTCACTCATTCGGCATTCCCTGAGGTCTCTTGTACCACACACAATCATGTCCCTTATAAATGACAATCTGATACTACCAAAGATGCAAGCACCTGACTGTGTACACAACTGTGTTTCATATGCATCTATTCTTCCATGAATCATTTTTGCTTTGTTTCACAATAATCATAAAATACTTTCATAAGTAGTGTAAGTAAGGTAGCTGCCACTCCTGGAAGAAGGGTGCCTTTTAAAATATCTGTCTTTGTCCCCAAAACTCTACCTGCCTTTGTCTCCAGTACAGACACAGTTTTACTTTCATCTTCTCTAATTTGTCAGTCATGGTTAGATCTGTGTATTGGAGAATTTCTTCTTTTCTCTTCCGTGTCTAAGACATATACCTTGCCTGAAAACCTAGCGGAGCTGGTGGGTTCCCAAATTTCATTATTTTTTTTTTTTACATTTTTTTTTTTTGTGTGCATTGCTCATACAGGCTCTGAGACTCTGGCTTCAGACTGCATAAAATTCAGCTGTAATTTAGTCAGTATGTCTTACTTGTCGTTTATCTTTTTCCTGCTGAACTGTAACACAACACTTATAAAACAACCGCCCTGGAACCAAACACTCTCTTTTAGGTTCCATCCCTTCACACACCCAGAACCAAGCAATAGCTAATCTATCAGTTCCTTTCCCTGCAACATTCAGGTAGTGACTGAAGCTTGGAAGATGCCCCCCTCATTTCTTCTTATATTGTTACCATATTAAAATGTGTTACTATAGCATTACCATTTTTATACCTGTAATTTTCTGTGCATGCATTGTCTTTTTATAATTGTCATTGAATGTATTCTACCACATTTCATGTACACAGTTGTTAATATTTTGGGTGAAAGAATTGGGTTGGTAAAACATTTCAATTGTATACAACAAATATTAGTTCAGCCACCCTCCCCCTCCCCCCCTTCTATCCCCCTCTCCATTCTTTGCCACTCCTAATTGTAAATACCTTCATATAACGGGCTCATCTCCGTCTCTGTTCCTTAGGCCTCACATCACACACCAAGAACCAATACTGAATCTCTCCATTCACCTCCCTGTATTACTGAATCTCTCCAATCCCATGGAAGGCTTCCTCCCCCCTCACTACTTCAGTGAAATCACCCACAATTACTCTTCTTTACAGGTGTAGTCAGTGTTTTGACAAAACATGTGCAAATATACCTGGTAGTCCAGTATCTCCTTTCATACTATTTATTCCATCTCTGCATGGAACCAAATTCAAACATGAAGTGACTGGAAGAACTTGAATCCCCAAACACTTATCAGTTTGCTGAGCTTTACAAGCCAGGGAAATGGCTATCAGCAGGAGGAGAGACATTTCAAACATGATGTTGCTCAGGCTTTAAAATAAAGGAAATACGGTAACTTTAAGTTAGTGAGGTTTATGTTATCATCATGAGCTAAAATTTGTTTCAATGATTCCAGAAACGTAGCAGAATTGAGAACATCCAAATAGGATATGACTACCCCAATGGCACACAATTGTTTTATATAAATCTTACAAATAGGTATTTAGGTATTGACAAATAGTTCTTATGTTTCTCAACCAGCTTTGGTTATGGCTCACAAACTTTCAAGGGATCATAGAGCAATTATTAATGATTAACCTTTCACTGCAGGGAAGAACTATTTGCGCTGCAATTCACTAAACCTGTTTTATTAAAAAAATATTAAAGATTTACAGTAAATCCATAAATGATAAATAACTCTCTCTCTCTCTCATATGTCCAAGGCATTCAAGTTCTTTGAGTGTGTCATTTTACACAAAAATCTCACCTACCGCTCAGAGGTGGGTGCCGGGGGGAGGACAATAGGTCCCCCTATTATTATTATTTAGGGCCCCCACCCGCCGCTCAGGGGTGGGGGTGGGAGGAGAAGGACAATAGGTCCCCCCCTCCCCTATTGTTATTTAGAATCCCCACCTGCCACTCAGGGGTAGGGGCTGGGGGGGAGGACAGTAGGTTCCCCCTCATTGTTATTTAGGTCCCCCCCCTCATTATTATGTAGGGCCCCCACCCACCACTGGCTGGTCACTGTTTAGTAGACATGCCTCTACTTGCGGTATAGCAAATAGGGGCAGAATTTACTAATACTAACTAATCTTTACTTTGTATTAGTAAATTTGTCTGAAAGACCAATTTAGGTCTTTCAGCCTTTTGGTAGATAGCTCTCTAATACCGTGTGAATTAGGGAGTTATCTACTAAGCAGCTGCAAGATGCAGCCTCGGCACGAATAGGATCGGAGTTTCATTAACTTGAATGAAATTCCAATCTGAACAAAGTCCCGAATTGCGTCCTAACATAAATGGTAAAACTGTTCTTATTCTGTTAGGGAGCAATTTGGTAGTTTTGCTGGCGTTCTGTCTAAATGACAAGATGTTCAGGAAAAGTGAAAGGAGGCATGGCAAGAACATGGAGGAAATGTGAGAATTGTGGGAAAATTGCTCTGACCAGCGGAGGAAACCTCAATAAGACAAATAGTCACTACTTTATCTTATGTTTTAAAGAAAACTAGAGCAGACAAGAAGAAAAGAAGAACAGATCCTGAGAGAAGGAGAGAACAGGAATTGATTAAAGAAAGGTAAGTTCGGCATGAGAGTGTCGCTTTTAGATATATTTTTCATTTAAGAAATGTCATGTTAAGGTTAATTCCATGCTGGTATGTATTAGTTCCCAGGGAAGAGTAAAACATCATTGCTTTCTGCCAACAAAACGGTATTTAGAACAATGATGGTCCAGGGTTTTTTTTTATTTAAGAAAATGGAATTGGGGGGCACAC